TAAAAACGAAAGGGGTTTCATATCTCGATAGTAAAAAAATATGCAGAAAAGGAAGTAAGGAAAACTCATCTCCAATTGAAGATTTTATGTACACTACTATTCACGAAGATGGAAAGTACTGCAACATTCGAAATGATCGAACATTCTGCGTTCTATAAACGTATTATATTAGCCTCTTCAGGAGTACTAGTACCATTCGTAAGCAAAGTTTATTGTACATAAAAATAAGCTTTGAAATAATAATGTCATACATGCGCAACCTATAAATATTCATACGCCTATAGAAAAATTGAATCGTTACTCGCAAATAAATAGTCGATGAAACTCTATTGACGTATGTATCGTTTATATTTTATTTTTACGTTAGCAAACGAAGAAGAACCAAAAAAATGATGCAGAGATAACGCCACGAACAACTTATAGCAACAACGAAGAAACGAACAAAATTCGAAAGATAAATTATTGTAAGAACCATCTGAAAAGTTGAAACAGAGCTTTCCCTTAACTGTTGCTCTTGGAAGGAGAAACAAAACGGCAGCAAGTTAACATAAATAAAGAGGATCGTTAGATAAGCAGGGAGGAAAATAAAAAAAAATGGAGGAACGGTATGCATATGCCCGAGAAAAAGACTGTCTCGAGAGGGGAGAGAATATTCAGTTCGTGATGAGGCCCAGCCACAGATTTACGATCGGCAGCCTCTGCGAGCACCACTTCTTATTTATTCTCTTTCCTTTCCCTCTCCCCCTGGCCCCGTTTACGCGGCTACCGAACCTGCAGCCGTTTCTTCCTTCTGTTCTTTTCTTTGCCACTTGTTCACCCGGTACATTAAGGCTTCGCAGTCCAAACCCATGCGAAAACCGCCACGCGACTCGACATTTTTTTATTCATCGAGAGCAGCCCACGAATATTCCTCTTTCAGGTTCAATTCTTTGGACGACAAACCATACTTCAGAATTTAGTAACATCGGTTGCAGTCATTGGTTGGCAGCAAGCTATTTATTAATTTCGTTTCTAGGGATGTCGGCCGAAGCCAACTTTGCTCGACTCTGAAAACTAGACTTCTAAATATATCTAATCTCTAAATCGTAAAAATAGTACACTAAAAATAACTGCATACGTTATAAGATTCCACGTGCCAGTAATTCACGGATCCCAATTTGTTGGCGCCATTTTCTCACCCCCAGAGCCTTTTCCCTAAAACGCTCAAAGAAGAAAGGACCAGGCACGCGACGAGCAGTTCCATTTGACACGCGACAGACTTTCCATTTTTTTTTCCCAACAGGAAACAGAACCGCGAGCTTCGAAAAAAGTCCCAGGACCGGGAATAAAACGTCGAGCAAAAAAGGCTAGACGAGGCACAAGCGTAGGGGAAATCTGGTAGTAGAGTCACGCGTGTCCTAAGTCATGTCACGTTTACGTTTCAAATCTATTTTTTACTAAATGACATGGTTTCCATGGGTCTCCGTACGTATATAGTAAAAATTTCAATGTCACGATCAAAATCATTTTGTAGAAGAAAATTCTATATTTAGAATATTTAGAAAGACATTCGGGAACATTGAATTTTCATTTAGCGACCAACCATATGTCCTCTCCAAGTACGGATTTTCACACCTGCTTATTATAACTAATACGTAACATGGCGAGAGAAGCGGATTGGGTCGGGTCGGAACTGACCAGGTCCAAAATTGCCAATATCCAACTCGCGGCATTTCGTTGAGGAAGGGAGGCAGAAGGCATCCGTCGGCAAAAAGTTATCCGTCAAACGAGAGGAACAAGGGCAAGCGTGTCCGTGGAGTGCAACTACTTTCGTCACAGATCGTGGCCGATGACGAAACGCAGGAGCGAACAGGTGAAAGAGGAGAGGCAACGAGGCCCCCAGGTAAAAAGAGGAAGGTGAATCGAGTCGACTAGTTACGCTCGAACGGGCGATACGTGTACCCCGTTCGAGGAACAGGCGCGGTTCCGACCAGAGAAAAGAGGCCCATGTTGGAGGGAGACTTTAATCGTCTTTCCAGCCATCACGTGATCATCCGGCCCATAGGTAATTGCAAGTAAATTCGAATTGTCACGCATTATCACGGTAGCCTCGAGTTGTCTGAACCGGAGAATCTCGGCCAGTGGCTCTCAGTCAGGAGGCTGCTTCGAGGGGATGACACTCGAACGTCTTAAAATAGGCTCGAAGAAGGGGGAAGTGTTCCTTCCCCGCAGGAAGTCGGTTTTTGTTTTGACCCCGGGGGGATTTATTAGACAGGCCGCGTGGGAATGGATTCGAGTGTTTAAAATGGGAATTCGCCGTGACATTTAAGTCGGTAAGTGGAGTAAGTGCACCTTTTTTTGGGGGAGGGGACATGGATGCATCGAGTGTGTCCAGATTCTTCGGGGAGGAGCTGAGAGATTCTCGAGTTTGATGGATGTTGGGTGGCTCGAAATTGGGCTGACGTTTGTTTCCGTGATGAATGAATTGCGAATGGCTTGTGGGTAAGAAAATGATAAAAAGTGGTGTTGGTACAGTGATGACTTTATTAAGTGCGCTGTGTAATGGCACTGGGGTTTTAATGCCTGGAGGTACAGGTGGAGGTTGGTTTTAAAACTAATAACGAGGCTACTTCGCGAAACTGGAATCATCAAGAGTCCTATTCGTTCACCTAATATTACGGTTCTTTTTGAAGCAGGAATGAACGGAGGTTTTGTTTATGAATTTCAACACAAAGTTGCTTCATGAAAGAAAGATCGTTCGATGAGTTAATGTGAAATTTAACTTCGATTTAACTTCGTTATAGAAACATCATCAAATTCATGGTTTTAAATATCTAACGTTAAATTTCACATGACGTCAAAATTGTCGAAGAACCCGTTTTAACCTCAAACATACTTTACAAAATCATCCCCTTGCTTTTAAATCTAATCTGAAAGATTCTCTCCAACCCAACCTAAAAGTAGCTTCATAAAACAAAACTCATTCACTGTCTCCCGAACACAGGTTAAAGACGACCCGTGACACACCTGGCCCCTTCGCCTCGGGCCCCGAGGGGCCTCAAAGTCCCTAATTAGCGATCAGAAATAGCCGGTAGCAACGGATGAGCTAGAAACCACTCTGGTTCGCGGTGAACGGTCATTCGCGAGGACTTGTCATCGTCTGGCGTCTATTAAAAAAATCCTGTTTCCTCGTAGAAAATCACGGGCCCATCGTGTAATCTTGGGCCCGAGATCGTCTCTTTCCGCTCTAGCTGGATCCCAGCCGTGGCGAGTGCGTTCACACCGAATCGAGAAAGCTATCGTGCTCCTCGATCCTCGGCCCATTCAGAGAAGAGAAAGAAAGCTTTTCTGGCAAGACGCACGAAACGGACGGACGGACAGACGGTTACATAACTCCGACGGTGGGGCCCAACGGGGCCGAGAAGAGGGAGCCATTGTGCCCTGGCGATGTACATAAGGGGCATACAGGGGGCAGATCGGACTTAGAAATTTAGTACGTGGAGGTAAATGGGGTATCATGTTCAGTCTAAGGCTTAAGGACTTTTGTTTGGCGTGGGAGGCTCGCTGCTGCACTGCCCGCTGGGCCCCACCTGACCTTCCCATCTCCGACGGGTGGGGAGGGACCTCAACCTGACCCATTCATTCGGCAGCTTTTCGTTTTCGTTCGATTTCGTGTTTCGTTGCTCGGACCAGCGCCTGGCTTGATCGAATTTCGCGCTGCAGCGGGCCGCAGGAGGGCCCATTTCCCTTCGGATAACGATGGAAAATACCGATTTCTAGATAATAATACGAGTACTACGTTTAACCTCTATTTATGTTTCATTTAGAAAAAAAAATATCTCGAAGATGATTACCTAATTAATTGGAAGATATCCGAATAAGGCTCATCTGTAATGTAGGTTGTGGAAATAAAATTGTACGTAACTGCAAGGGAAGTAGAATGTTTAATCGAACCTGATTTCTCACTTTTCTGTTTGGAAGACTTCAAAAAGGAGTCTCATCGCCAGAAATACTATCATAAACCGATGATCGTAACAAGAAACGACTTAAAATGCAGAAGTCAGCAAACTTCGGCGTCGAATTTCCGGGAAGAAGGAAATCCCTTGTCATAGGGCCCTCTTGTATAACAAAAGAGACCCAAAGGATTGCCTGGCAGACAGAGCTCCCCATCTTCGTGCGACACGCCTCACGGCAGAGACTCGATTAAAATTAGATCTAAACCGATGTTTTTGAGACGGTCGGGCCCACGTTCTGGGTCCCTTTTCGAGCCGACGTTCCGCCGGCCACTTTCTTCTCTCTCTCCGTCCCCCTTTTCGTGAAGGGGGCTCCGAGGGGGATAAAAAAGAATCGAGTGGAAAAAATGACGGGCCTCTCGCTACCGTGGTGCGTGATCAGGTGAGGCTCCCATTCCGTTTCGCTGATGTACCCTCACACGTCGAGGAGAATCTGTAATTCCTTTGTGTGGCTGCGTCATCAATTGGCGCTACCAATTGTGTATTTTTATGTTGAAAATCACCTTCACTTTTTCTTACGTTACTTTATAGTTATTTAACAGCGTAGTGTGTGTACATATCAGGGGCTTAAATATTTTCTCTTTTTGATCAATACGAAAAGAAGAGTACTGGATTTACACGAAAGAAGTATTACAATTAAAATTAATTTCCACAATCACAGGTCCACAATCACATTTCACCTGTTACAAAAAAAAAAAAAAAAAAAAAAAAAAAAAAAAAAAAACACATATACAACGTTTGTATATGTCCGTACGTGGATTCTGTTATAACGATTGCATCTAAATGGCTGAATATTATTTAAATATTCGAATTCCAATTTAACGAAGTAGATTTTCATTAAGTTGCCAATAAACGTGTCACGTATTGCGGAAGAGCTACTTTCCACTGAATCTGAACCGAGTTCGGAATGCCTCGTCGTAATCCAGCGATTCGCAGGAAACGATCGAAATAAGAAAGTGTCTCGAGGACACGCCCGGTTCGATCTGGATCATCTGGCGGCGAAATCATCGCGACTTCCATCCACTGCGTTTAAATCGGCGAACGTGTCGGAATAAATTGCCCACGGGACGGCGTACTCGCGACTGGTTGGCCGATACACGTGTAACTAGGCAGAAGCACACGCGAACGAGGCTGATAAAAAGAGACACTGTTGCGAGAAATATGCAGTCGCGGCCGGCCGACTAGCACTCCGATCGAGGATACGAATAGAACGTGATATTACGTAGAGCAAAGAAATGCAGGCGGTACGCGCGACGCCGAAGAGACGTGTGTAATTTGAAAAAATTACGCTATTTCAATCGCGTTGGAAAAGTTTTGAAATACTCTACCTACTGCGCGGGTGGGCGCAGAGAATTCCTCGCGAAGATGGAGCTATTGAAAAGGTAAAAGTAATGCGTTCGACCCTATTTTCTGTCAATTTTCCTGGTATTGAAAGATTCTTTACTTTCAAAGATTTTTATTTTATTTCTTTATTAATCCTCAAGAAACACCCTGAAATTTTAACCCTTCCTATAGATAGTAATGCTCGTTAACATCAACCACCCCTCGAAAAAGTCAAGCATCGCCTGTGACACAGCCCCCGATCCGACCTAGCTTTCATAAATCCAAAGAAACGCGTTATCGCGACGGAAAACTCGGCTCGAGGGGGTCATCGAGAGAAGAGGGCACTAATCGACTCGGTTGTCACTTCGCAACACTGTAATCTCTCTGGCCGCGGTTCCCCTTTGGCCGTCGTCCTTCCAGAAGCGGAGTACGCTCGGCGGCGAGGCGAGGAACGAGAAGAAATAAGGAGAGACGGTGGAAAAAGAAAGGGTAAAAAAGTGGCTGGCTGGTGAATGAAGCTATGCACCTCCGTGCCCGGGGGGGCCCGGGATTCAAGTCCGGGGGCTAGTGTACCGTGACGAGCACAGCATCCTGCCTCATCCTCCAGCTCCCACCGTTCTTCGTCTCCTCGTCTTTCTTCCGCAAGGCTCGTCTCTCTTCGACGATCGAAACGTTCTTCGCCGCTGGCTTCGTCTTTTGGCTTTCACGACGCTACTCTCGGTATCGCTGCTCTTCTAGGTCTTCCGTTCTGTTTGGTGAATTCTTGTAATTCTCCGGACGACGTTTCAGCTTCTTCCGGCGACGCGCGCTCCTCTCGCCTTCGTCATTAATCTGCTGGCGAATTTATTGCGGAGCTTTGCGAGTTGTGACCTTGTTGACACTCGCTTTTGGGATTTCAGTTCCGAGGGACCACTTTCCTTTCTTCTGTGGACTTTCCGGCTTCTGAGTACTACATAGTTCAATCTTGAGGCAGTATCCATTGCTGCTTAATCTAACTCACGGAGGAACTTTCGAAACCAATGCACGCATCATCGAGTGGATAAAATATTATCATCTAATACATCATCAACCTGAGGCACCCAAAGAAAATAAACCAATTACTATTACTTCTAACACGTTCCTTAACAAGACTATTCTACCCAGAACAAAAACCACCCAATCACTACCCGAAGAACGCCATACTGAATAGACCAGGTATTACACGTGGGGGCCTGACGTCGATTGATGATTCCCTCCGAAGAGTCACTAATTCAATTTGCTTATCGGGACGACAGTTTGCGAGATTCTAAAGATCAATACGACCGATAAGAGGAAATCATCCCCGATGATTCTTCTCGTTCTTCCGTCGTTTCTCATTCATCGACCTCTCGATTCATGTTCCACGAGGCAGCAGCCTTGACGGTGCTGCTCCTGGTCGCTTGGTGCCTTTTCCGCTACCATCGTTCGCTTTTTGCCCTCTTTTTCGATCAACTCTTGGTCCCTTTCCTTCTGCTCCCTTTTCCTTCCACCGAGAGCCATCATCATCGCTCTCTCGGAGTCGGATCGATCGATCGATCGAATCGGGGCCCTTGAAACCGAACCGCGCCCCGCCGGAAAACCGCAACGCGGATCTAGTTAACCGCGCCGCGGAAATTATTCGCGGAATAATATCGCCAGCTCGGTTGGCATTGGTTCTCCATCGAAATGGCCCAGGTGAACGCGCCAGTCGCGCTAAACAATAGTGTTTCTGACGTTACAGTCGAGAACAAACTTATTTTTAACAATAAGTTGACGAATGACTCGAAAGTGACGAATAAAAAATCGCTCCCGATGACGCCCTCCTAGGTAGAGATTATTACAGCCGTGATTGATGGTTCCCTGATAAGTTTAGAGTTCTAATTACGATCTTCGAGTGATATTCGAGGTACACCCGTTATTAGAAGATGCTGCTCTCTCTCTCTAGGACGAGAAAACACCCGTTACGCCCGGTGTTTAATGTATCTGATACAATTTTCCACCTTTCATCGAATGCCTCGGCAATGGCGATCGTTAAAGGCAACATTCAGTTCTCGTTATCGAGAAAAATCTTTCCTTCAGCGAATTCAACGTAATTTCGCGCGCATCGACGCTCTTCATTCCGCTCCGCGCAGGAATATAATTATCACGTTTACGCTTCGTGTCGTAAACACGGTCAGAAAATTGTTAATGTCGCAACGGAGAGATTAGATTCTTGTTTCTTCTCGGTTGCTCCGCGCTACCATTACTATTCTAAAGTTTCGACGCGAGAGCATGATGCCATCTATCGTCGTTCGTGCTTGTAAATAGGCTGCTGATGTTTACGCAGATTTACTAATTATTACAGACTGTATAGACACGAACAAAGACGTAAAAATTCACTGAAAATTGAATAAGAAATGGAAAGGACGTTCTATATGTAAAATATTATAATTTCGAAAAAAAAAACGAAAGGCAATAGCTCTCGATTTGATCGAGCTCTCGATGCCAGTGATCGCGTCGCGCTAGCTCGAAGCCACCGTGACGGAAAAAGGAAAATCGCGAGCGTTCGGGCGGGGTCGGCGGAGGAAAGAAAAGGCGGAGAAGGCCGCCGCGGATTCCTTTCGACGATAGTTAATAATTAGCGTTACGACGAACGGCGTGGCGGTGTGTCGGTCGACGTTCGTTACGTATTATTTTACAGCCGGACGATGATTCTTATTGTAATTAAGCGGCAGCGGGCCCCCGGCCACCGGGAATCGTAAATTTCGAGTTTATGGAGACAGACGGGAGCAGCGTGGTAATATTAATTGCGCATCGGCCGTAATGGCCGGCCTCCGACGCCATTGTTTTGTCCGCTGGAAAGTTGGATTCGTGGAGGAAACGAATCTCCTTCGAGAGATCCAGGGATCGCCAGGATTCGTTTCTTCAGCGTTCGCGCCTGCTTGCTTTACCGACGTTATTCGTTTTCGAAAATTAATTCCGTTCGTCTGTGGGACAATTTTAATCGACTCGTCAATCGTTGCAACTGTAACGTAAATTTACACGAGTCATTTTCAAATCTCCAAACGATCAGAATCGAGCCGAAATCTACCGTGAACCCTTTCGTGGATCCTTCCTTCTTCGACTGAGCTATCGATGGCCCTAATTCGATCGTACTCGCAACCCTATCTCGAGGCGTCGACGGTGTCGATAATTGCGGAAGTGATGGCGAGATTAGCAAGGATAGGGTAGGAGGGAGCGGCACAGCTGCGTCGTTATTATCATTCTCTTCATTAAAGGACGATCGGGGTAACGATTTAATGGCTTTCTGGGTCTTATCATCCGCGGACTCTCGCGGCCCGAGACGCTCATTCGTCGGCCGCTTATTTCAATATTACAGTGTAATAAATAGCGAGCGTACACGTCGAGGATTAAATCGACGAAAATTACAGATCGTTCGGGACGATGGGGACAGGCGGGACGGAGGAAGGAAGCGGAGACCCGCAAATTACATAGATCTCGACCAACGGTACCACGCGTATACTCTGGGAATTTTTCATCCGTGTTGTTGGGATAAGAGAGACATTGGAAGATAGATAGAGAGAGTGGGTTGTTGCGGAGCACTACAGGATCGTTATCGAGAGGGTCGACCACCCCTGCGAACCTGACTGTGACTCGAGGGTGGCTGAGAATTTTGCAAAGTTTTCGATTAGGAGCACTTGCTAATTTGATGAGTGTTGATGGAGATTATGAATCGTGATTGTTGGTAAGATGCTGCTAACGAACAATAAATAACCCAGACCTAACCCTAAAGAGTCAAGGCTCGGTTTCAGATCCATATCGATCCAATAACGCGTACAGAAAACGCTCGGTAATTACCGTGCACTGTCTCACAGGCAAATCGACATACTGGCGCTTAATAACAGGCAATAATTGCTGTTTTTCAACGGAAACGGGCAAGGTATATATGTTAGATCAACCGCGATGCGTTTCACTGGCCTCCGGTCTATGATAATCCGTCCTATTCTATAATTGTCCGGTGAATATCATTAAATTTTAACGATCCGTCTTATGGCATGTTGCGCCGAATGTCCTTCGACCGCTGATTTCTCGTATCTCCTTTCCTTGCTTCTTCTTTCATCTTCTCTGAATCTCTTATCGAGAATCTTTCTCTTGCTCTCTGCCTTCTCTTCGGCTCCATGCGTACTTTATTAAAAGCTTCTTTAATAATTTCTTTCATATTTTACAAAGAAGCGATTCAGAATGATGCACTTTCTGGGTTATAGAGAATGGAAATGCATTTTACTCATATTTCATCGTTTAGGTTAATATTCAATAGTTTGAAATGTATTTATTCGAATAAAGTGGATCAGTTTGATGCTTCATTGATCAGAAGGAATGCAGGTGTCAGCGATCATTTCTCTTCTAGTGAGTAAATAAAAAATTGTATAAATTGTTTCAGTAGAAGGATTACCTACAAAGTCTTCATTATTAAACGAGTCATCGATTACGCAACAGAATTAATTACGTTTCGATTGGCAGTGAAGAATGATCATTGCATGTATATCATACCATATTTGTTTTATAGAAACGTAAGATCTATCTTTCCGAATTTCCATCATTTCCATGATCAAAATTTGCCCCAATCTGCCCACTAACAGAACTTGGATTGACATATTCATAAATAAATATCATGTTCATAACGACTCTCCTTTATAGGAAATGCACGATTGCCATGTAAAAACTCAATTATTTTTTTGAAATTCAATTACACCATTTTCAGACTCTCGATCTATTATTTATGATACGTATCGATCGTTTTGATCGATTTTGATTAATCCTACTTTTTGCTGATTGCGTCATCCCTCTCTTACAATTGGGGATAAATATTCATCATTAAATTCTCAATGATAAATCACCTGCAACTAATTAATATTCGCGTTCGTGTATGTATTAAATATTTATATTTCATTAATGTTAAGAGTTTATCGGTTACGCGATTGATACAGATGAAACTTATGTTTATCAAAATGTTCGTTTCGATCAAAGACTGAAAGGGGCAAATTGTCAAAATACAAAGTGTTAATTTTGTGAGTAACTAATAAATAAAATTGTTCTAAACGAGGCTCGAGAGGAATCCTAATGAAATAATATGAAGATCGATCTATTCTGCTTTCTTTTAACCCATCTTCCCAACAAGTTACCAAAGAAACTTCATTAGAAGCAAATATCGCAAGCATTGCTAAATAATTCGGAGTCGAAGTGGCTTCTGCTCGTTTTAATTAATAAAGAAAAACAAAAAAAAACATAAAACAGTCGAACAGAGAAAAAGGGTGTTATTATGCGCGGTAATCCAAAGAGGATAATCGCGAGAGCGCCATTAGGCTATAAGAGAAAACGAAAAAGAGCCGGAGAAAATACGGGGACTTGGAGGCTTTCACGATCTCTCCAGGAGGCAGTTAAAGGATTACAGGACTTTTTTAAATCTGCAAACAGCCCGTCGGGAAAAGGGTTAGGAGGAATCTTTAGGGCGACGTTACCCGTAAAATCCGCTCGTAAACGCGCAGGGGAAACATCGACGACGGCTCAATTTTCGAAAATCGCCTCAACCCTTCCGCTACCTGCCGCAACAGGCCAACGAACGCCGCTATAGTAAAAGAGGAGCTGACGACCGTGTAACTGCAGCTACCGATAAACACTCGCTGATCGTGTTTGCAAACGTTTTGAGCATCGACTAAGTGGAAAGGGGAGATTATCAGGCTGCTTTTTAGGTTGCAGAACTACTCGAAATTATACTAAATGAGATTCCAATTACGCCACTTTAGCGACACCGCAATTATCCGAGCTGATAGGGGGAAACGACTGTTGGCAGTAAAAGTGCGACGAAATCACGTCTTCTTTGGGAATTAATAACGTGGAAAGGAATGCAGCCACGTACTTTTAATTCTGCGGGATGTTTGTGTGCCGGTCGAAGATTGAGAAAATATTATTTTGGTTGTGTTCATGCGACGGGTAAAAATTTCAAAAACGAGATGTGTCGTAGTTGAAATTGATTGCAATTACTCGAGGGATCAGTTTATAGCCTTCTGAATCACAAATTATTGCAAAAATATTATTTGTTTGTATGCAGTACTATCACCGCCAGGGACAATCGATTCGCTCGATCAAGGTTAACGTTTGACGTCTAAGGGCTAAGCATACTTGAAAGTACGATAATCCAGGCCTTTCGACGCGCTAATCCCCGACTCCGTCGTGGATTACAAGATGTAAACGGCAAGTCCTCGTCGTAAACGAGCCGTGCGACGGCTCGATTTCGAAAATCGCTCGCCTCTTCTTGGGCCTAACCCGTTCACGCTACCTGCGACCCTCCGCGACGCGTCGACGATTTTTTTTTCGAGGGTGGGAAGGAGAAACGAAGGCGGTTGAAATGGGAATAAAATCGATACTCGTGTGTAGGGTGTGAGCGAGCTGGAAGCAGGAGGGAAATGATTTTTTTATAGCTAGGGGATGGAATATGTTAAGATTTCAAAGGGGAAAATTGCAGTAATTCGCGAGCAAGGTTCGTCTCGAGGAACTCTTTGAGTGTTGAACGAAAATTAAATGAAAAATCATATTGGTTTCTATATGGTTTCGAAAGTAGATAGAATTATTTCTAGGTGATTGAACAATAATTTTAACGTGTATGTTATACTTTTTTTCTTCGTTGCATGAAATTCCTATTTGGATACGAAATTCGTCCATCCCTAAGACAAAAGGGTCGAAGGGATGGCTCGAGTGCGCGACAGATAGTCAAGGAGGGGAAATTAGGAGAAAGTCGGAGAGGGTGCTCCCTGGTTCGGGCCCTTGTACAACTTCTATGGCGTATTACAGCGAGGAGAGAAAAGTGGTTGCCAGCTGAATGGCCGGTGTTTTACAACAGTGGCGAGAGCCGAATAACCCTCGTGGCTTTGTTGAATCGCGGCCTCACGAATGTACCTGCGGTAAAAATCAGCCACTACTGTGCGCGGAAGCCTCCAAGGGCCCCCCCCACAAGAACCGTAAAGGGTTAAAACGCCATAAAACAAGGCATTATCGACTCGTAGGGGGCGGGTAAAAAAATGTCCAGTTACGTTTACGCGGGGAAGCTTAATTGCACCCAGGCTTGTTTTATTTCTCGACGGATTTGCGTGTTGTGTATCTCCTGTTTGCACTTGGGATTGGGTAACTGTTTTCTTTGCCTTTGCGTCGAGGAGGACTCTCGAGGAGGACTCTCGTCCCACCGTAAATTAGGAGGAAGTTTACTAAGAAAAAGGTAAACAAACGAAGATCGTTGTCTATTGGCTTGCAAGAAAGCGGCATATCGAAATTGTAATCTGATTTAATGGAGCCTGATGCGATTGTAGTAGAATTTAAGACGTAGCTTGTAGGATAGTCCAATGTACGATTTTACCCTATGCTATTTCTTATTTCAGGAAATCTCATTCCGACCAAACCTACGCCGAATAATGCTATATTTAAAATTAAGTGCATCTGGAAAGTGAAAAAAAAATGATAAATTTGAATTATTCATGACTAACCTGGGGGCACATTTTGCACTGGTACTTCCTGGGTGGATGAGAGTGCGGTCCGCCTAAATGGGGGTTCAGGTGCGACGGATGAGAGGGTTTCACGGTCAAAGGCTGAGGAACCACCAGCAAACTCGCTGGCGGACTTCCGCTGCTGGATCCCCCGGCGCCTCGGTATTGATCCTCTCCTGAAATTCATCGATTACGTCAGAGGAAACTTATTGCTTGTTTATCGAGTGTATTAAATAAATTGTCACTGTGCACTCTGAACTGGTTTAGCCTGTTTTCTGGTAAACGATAGTCCATGTATGACGTTTGGCTTGAGGTTAGTTAAATGAGGTAAGTAGATCTTATCTACTACGTATTTAAAGATATTGCCTGTATGCATAATAATCTCGTTTCTTAATTAATTTAAATGAAAATACACGCGATCCTATTCCATTTTACCATTATAAATCAAAATCCTCGAGAACCTTAGAATACCGTTTGCAATAAACTGTTCCCTTCTAGTTATCAAACTTTCTCGACGAAATTTCCGTCGGTTTAGGAGATCGCAGTCGAAATCGACGCAGCCCTTCCCGATAAATGTCGGCCGATGATAATTAATGGAAGTTAGCCGAGAGATATGAGGAATTGCATCGAACGCGAGCGCGTACAGTAGAGAAAGAGGCACGCCGTCCGATTGACGCAACAGCGAGCAAGCAAGGGGCAAGGATCCTGGGCAGGTTGCAAGGACGAGCGATCCTGCGTTACGAGTGGCTGTCATTAAAGGCGAGTTGTCGATATCGAGATCGACGCACGCGTGTCTGCAGGTGCATCGGTTCCGTGTGTGAGTGAGTGCTCCGGCTAGAGCTACCAGCGATCGAACTCGTTTACGTTTCTAGAAAAATTTTTACTTCGTCTTTCTTCTACCGTCGGCTATCTCGTTTACAGCCGAGCCATCTTTTATTTTCGATGGATACACTTTTTAACGATCGACGAAAGAAAATAAAAAGGTATTTATTTAATTAACGAGTTCAGGAAAATTTTCGGTACATTCTACTGCACATGGAGTTTTTGCAAAATTTTGAAGCATCTTTTTAAAGCCCTCTTTATTTCATTTGAAATTTGAAATACGATAGTTGAAACAGTAATGTATTTGGTTCGAATTAATGAATTTTTTATAACCGAACGACTTGATAGATTATTTTGGAAAATCGAACGGCAGCAGACGAGATGATTGCCGAGTATTTAACGCAATAACAGTTTTATCCAATACCTAATTTGCATACGAGTTCGATTCCACGGTAAACACGATGGCTGCGTGTCACTGTAATTACTGTTTGTCCGCATCTAGAACGATGATGCCTCAATCGCGTCTCTCTTATCCAGCAACGATAGAATTCCAACGCGATTGGAAAACCTTGAGCTACAGAGTATTGTAGAGCTTCGGACCAAGAAAAACATTTTAAAAATACACCTGGACCTTCTTAAGTGGTTACATCGGTGCAGTGGCGCTAAAATATGTACATTGTTACTTTGGAATTATATTTTAAAGAATACGCATTTAAAAGCGAACGTTAGCTTTTATATTTATGAAAAGGGTGGTTTAGCATGTTATCAAAAGGGTGCAAGTCTATAATTTTCGTTGGACGTGTTATAATTTAATAAAACTGAAAATTCATACTTTGGGCACGAGTTTGAAGGAATAATTTTGAATTTTTTAGAAATTTAACTATTTTATGAAGTACGTAGAAGGCAAGCTATTCAAGTTGTTTACAAAAATAACTCGCCCTGAAATAAACAACGTCATGTAGAATGTTCAGGCCAAAGTTGAAAGTGCCAGGGCAATTATTTATCGAGTTATACTCTCAACGCGAAAAACATGGTTTCCTGAAAAACGCGATTAAAGTTTACGGTCGCGTATGCTCATTAGCCTAGCACACCTTTCAAAATAAATTCATAAGTTCCGTAATTTTTTGAATGTCCATGCTGTAATAATAATAATAAAAAAAAAACAAGGAAAGAAGCTTGATCTTTCACTTTCTGCACTGATATAATCTTTCGAAACTCTGTATTTGGGATTTTTTTGTTAAAACGTAAAATGTTTCGATAACAAAGTGCTTTTCAAAGTCGTCAAAGCTGAATCATTCCGTCTCTTGTTCCGTGTTGCTGTTTTACTGCGCTCTCGCATCCCTTTTATCTCTCCCTTTTTCTTAGCCTCGAGGCCATCTTTCCTGCAAGATGAATTTTAGTGCGCTGAGAAAGTCGGATTGCCGAGTATAAAAACCACCGGAAGCATTAGGCGCATTAAATGAAGGAAGCTGTAATGAATTACGTATCTGATCTATTTCCTGTTGGGGAAATACTATCGAGCCGACCTTGGTACGGACATTTTGGAAAAAATAAGATTCAATTACTCGGGAGCTACCCAGCCACCGAATTAACCCCGCAGCTTTCAAACGAACGCATCTGCGGGCTCTATCGATCATTTTCGTCTCTCTTTCTCTCCTCTTCCTTCAAATTGGCGAAATCATTGTGCTCGAAACAAAGAAATATCACGAGGAATGATTGGAAACGAAGGGAAAAGGGATGGTCAATTTTGTTGGTTATGCGAGCAGATATTTACTGATATAATATTGCTTTCTAAAGGGGTTCGATCAAAGGAAGTTGGTTCTATTCAGGAAAAATGAAAATGGATAAAGATTGAAAAGTAGCAAAATCCATATAACGTATACTGTTTTACATTTTCAGTAAGTACCCACTGTGATTATTGAAATCTATTGCAACTACTACTTTTGTAATAAGCATAACAACTTCCCATGAGTGCAACTTAATTTTAAACATAATCGCTCCACTTTTATAAAACCTACAAATCATTAAAAGAAATTGACTGGATTTTTATGTTCTATCCCGTCGAAGATCGAAGAACGAGTAAACAATAACAACGACAAAACGGAGTTGTCAATAACTATGACAGAAAGGAATCACGACGCTAATTAGTCCGTGGTTGTTAAACCTTGACGAGCGTCACCGCGTTAACGCGACGCGAAATTTTTGCAAATCACGTTTCGCCGTACTCTTTTTTTGTCCTAGATCCATTACCGTCGCGTTATCCGGCATTGCTTCCGTCTAATTGGCTGGCTCGCGTGTGATTGGTTTGTACGTATGCAACCACGACACTTTAACCTCTGACTAAAGATGTGCTATCCTGTATTCTCCGGTATGACCCGCGATGTGAATCGATTCGCGAGAAATTCCAATCCAACGATCCCCCTTCCTTCCCCTAACACTCACACAATTTAGTTTGCTCGTGACTCTCCATTAGTCTGTTGGTACCCATTGGCCCCCTTATAGCTCGAGTACCTCGGGATTGCTAAATCGGTAATCAGTCCACGTTGAAAATATTCCTAATAAATAAACATCATTTCTTTCTCTTCAAAGAGGAAGTTTTTTTAAAAGAATCTCGAAGAATTACTTTAAAAAAGAAAAAAAAAACAAAGCATCGCCTAGTGACCCGGGATCCTTCCCGACCGAGAAAATCGCGAGTGTCGCGTTCGAGATCTCGCGAAACTACGCAGAAACCTGGCACACGTTGGCCGCTCTTTTCCGCGGTTGCGATATTGCGTGCGGTAATTGCTGGCCGAAGGGGAACCTGCGTCCCCCTCCGTCCTCCGTCCAACCGTTAGCAGAGCGAGATAGACGAACGTTGGGGCCTCACGGTGCACGAGATCGCGTATGCAAATGATAATTATCGAGTTCAAGCGCGCTGGAAAGATCAATTAGTTGTGCCGCGTGGAGAACGTGACGCGGCTGTGATTCTGCGAGCAACGGTTGGACGAAAATATCGTGATACCGATCTGTACCGTGCATCCAGGCGACAAACGAGTGACGGCTAGTCGCTTGACGACGATAATCATTTTCTAATCGAGCTGTGTGTCTTTTTTTTTTTATTGCGAACGTTATTTCTTCATCTCAACGAGTGTAGCTCGCATGGAAAATATTTTCACCGCATTCAAGAGAGCGTTCGATGGATGATTTTCTACTATTACGTTATTTATTATATGTAGGATGATTCTTTAAATAAAAATTTTGATTCGACAAGTACGACTCGGCGAGGGGTTATAGAAGGGGAGAACATTATTGCCGCTCGCTTCGATACATACCTTTAATCGAGAGTCGCGGCTTTATGTGTCATACAGCGCACGCGATGTGCTCGAGGAGTCGCATGCGGTAAAAACTTGGACTCCTTTTTATGTAGATACGTTTCGTGTCTTTCAGACAGCATATGTCTTTTATTTCATGCATTTCATATTTCATATATTTCGTACTTTTTCACATTTCATATTTCATTCATTTTAGTCATGTCATATATTATTTGTTCAATACTCCATACATTTTATGCACTTCGTGCATTTCATGAATTTCATTTACTTGAGTAATAAGTACTTTTGCCTGAAAAATGAACATTTCTATTTAATGCTTGTCTATTCCTTGTGCTTCTCAGCAGAAATTGGCCAACTTCTTCAAATAACTCGAATACCTCCTGTTCGACATCATCATAAGTTTTATATTTTCCCCCATCTGGATAATGTCGCCATTGATCCCGAATAAATAGTAATCAGTGGACGTCTGGAGAATACAGTGGACGCGAAATCATTTCCTGATCGAGTTCTCTTATTTTGCGTACAGTGATTTTCGCAGTATGTGGCCTGTCGTTATCATGATGCGGAATAATTCCTTTTCTGTTGGGCATTGCAATATGCTTTCCGATGTTTGCTATGTTTTAACGATTTGGCTGACCAAGAAGCAAGCTTCCATCAACGTGCAAGTGAGTGAATCAACAGATTTGATGGAGGAGAACAGAGGAGTATTAAATTAAGATAAATATGAATGAACGTTACATCGGTCTGACGTCGTACAAGAAGTTACACTTCAATAAATAGAACACGACAACAAAAATCGCCTCAATGTAATGAAAGAATTACCATATTATTTACACGATACAGTCAGACGGCAAAGACAAAACATCGAGCGTTGCGAACGCCTTAATTCCGCGTTTCCATCTCGACGAGAACATTAATGACAGAATGACGTCACGCGGCTCGTGGCGTTCTACGCGACGTGTAACACTAATGGAATTATCGCGAGACCGTTTGGCCGCCTCCGCGCGTGAAAACTGTCTCCTCCTCCGCTCTTTTTGTTCGTC